TATTGAATTATATCCATCTATAGCTCAATCTAAATTCTTATTTAATAGCAGCTTTAAATGAACTTTAAAAATTGTTTCAAGCCTGGCTGGTACAACTCAGTGGTTGAATATTGACCTAAGAAGCAGGAGGTCATGGTTTGACTTGGGTCAGGGCACTTGCCCTAGTTGTGGGCTTGGAATGTGCAGGAGGCAGCCAATCAATAATTCTTTCTCATCATTCATATTTCTATCTCTCCCTTTTCCTTTCTCTAAAATTAATAAAAACACATTTTATAAAAAAAAAAAACTCTTTAAAAATTACACTAATGGAAAGCCACTGGTCCCTCCCACCCTTGATTCTCACCAGAAAATGATGCTTTAAATGCAGGTTTTAGTAGTTTGAGAGAGGTAGATTGGCTTTCTTAGATTCCACATTGTTTCTTAATTGCAATCATCTTCTCTTTTTATTTGCTTTTGTGCAGCATGTCCTTGATTCTTCAGAAGTCGGATGCTGAGGATTATTTTTTATTCTCTTGTCATCCTAATTTTTTCCACTAGTTTCTTGTGATTACACATATGGATTTTTTTTTTTTTTAGAAACATGTACAGTTACTAAAAAATAAAATGTGTGCCTGTGATTTAAAACAATCTTATGCCTTTACTAGTTACTGGGGGGAAATCTTTTTTTAAAGCAAAGCATACTCTCTAAGTGTAACAGATCTTATATCAGCATGATCAGAGATGGACCAAAAGAAGAGCAGCATTTATACAAACTTTTCTTGAATAATAAATGTCTGCTCTCTAGTCTCTGTGTACTTTACCTGTGGAGCTTCCAGTAGAGATGAGCTCTCCAAGCTCAGTGACTTCACAAAGCTACTGAGTAATTCTAGTCAAGTTCAGCAGTAAATTTGGGTGGTCTCAGATCAGAGAATCAATAAATTGAATAGAATGGAGCAGTTCAATGAGCAGTTTCCAGGAATTGTTGATTGTACCTGAGACTTCACATAACTATAATAATAAAAGTGTAATATGCTAATTAGACTGGACAACATTCTGGACGAAGCCATGGCTGCAAGGGCCAAACCTCTTGCATGAATTTTGTGCATCGGGCCTCTAGTGTGTGTGTGTGTGTGTGTGTGTGTGTGTGTGTGTGTGTGTGTGTAGTGTATGCAGGTATTACTTCCTCCATACTTCCTCCATCTTCTAGCTGTGGCCATACCCAGATATTCTCCCCTCACCCCAGCTCCTTTCCTAGCCTGGCTAAACCTCCACCTTAGTGACTTACAATAAACAAACAAACAAGGACCACAAATGTGACACATGTCATTTGTGTATACCCTGAAGTCCCCTTGGTCTTCTCAAGGTTGGAATGGAGCAGTTTATGACTGACTCTACAGATTGTGAGGCAAGCAAAGTATCTAAATTTCCTGATTTCTGTCCCATAACTAGAGTATAGATCTCTTCTGAATGTTTACCATGATGTAAGTCTCAGTGGAGTCTTCTTTCCCCCTAGTCATACATTACACTACTTTGGCACTTAATGCATTGCCTTATACTTGTTTATTTATTTTTTTTCTTCCAGACTCTAAGCTTTTTTAATGGAAAGGCTCATATATTATTCACCAATCATTATGCTCTGTGCAATTATTAATAGTGTTCAATGAATGAATACCAATTTGTTGGTGAACTCTAACTGCTAGTCTCCTTGATGTTACATGGATGTACCTTAGTATTTTAGTTCAGTAGTTCTTAAACTTGACTGTTTTTAAGAAATATATGAAGGGAACCAAGATGGTGTCATAAGTAAATCCTGTACTTGCTGCCTCCCACCGCCACATCAAAATTACAACTAAAACACAGAACAACTATTATCCAGAACCATGGGAAAGCTGGCTGAGTGGAAGTACTATAACTAGAGAAATAAAGAAGAAAACACACTGAGACTGTGTAGAAAGTGCGGAGGTGCGGAATGGGCTGGTCTGGCATCCAGGTGGGAGGGAGGGAGGGAGATAACCTCTTTGGAGGCTGCCTGGAGGAGCAAAGAGTCCCAGCCCCACACCAGACCCCCAGCCCAGTGTCTCAGAGCTGGGAAAGAAGTCCCTATAAGCTGTAGAACTATGACTGTAAAAACCAGTGGATTGGGGCTGAGTGACACACAGACTGTTGGAGACCCAGCTGCTCCTCTTAAAAGGCCGGCACCATGAACTGAATTTACAAGCTCCCACTTCCTCTGAGCCCCAGTGCCCAGTGAGGCTTTGGGGGACCCAGACACATACAGAGAGAAACTGGACTCTCTGGCATCTGGGCAGGAACACGGGGGTGGCTTTCTTCCAGATGGAGGTGCTTGGAGTGGTCATTATTTCGGTGCTGGGACATCCTCATGCAGGGCTGACTGGCAGCCATTTCTATTTGCTCTGCCCTGGTGAATCTTTGAGAGCTTTACCAATTTATAATCTCACCCAAGCTGTGGGCAGCAGCTTTTGCATATGAATGGTCTGTCCTTTCTTGGGATAAAAAATTGTCAAACAAGCTGCAGCTGGGTCAGGGAGCTCCAAACCTATTAATAAAAGCCCCCCAAAATGGCACCAGCCTGTCTTGCTTCACACTGGGCCTTGTCTGGGCACTTCCAAACTCAATACAAAGAGGACGAATCTGCAGATCTCTCTGTAGCTCCTGCTGGGTGGCCTCAGGCAGTGGCTGACTTTGCACCTCCCTGGAGATCCAAGAGCCAGTTTACCAGTGATCAGTGTGAGACCATACTGGATTAGAACTCTTCACATCCATAAGTGACACACTCAAGGGACAGACTCAGTGAGCGCCAAAGCCCCATTGAAGCAAGTCCTGCCCCATAAGGGTGTCTCCTGCACAGCAGCTCTCCCACTATAGTTGCAGCTTGTCCCCACAGCCAATTGGCCTGGAGGTCAATTCTTCCCAGTGACACCAACAGCAATCAAGGCTCAACTACAACAAAACTGTGCACACAGCCCACAAAAGGGTGCACCAAGCGTGTCCACCTCTGGTGATTGGAGAGGCTGAGCCACTGGGCCCTATAGGATACCTACTACATGAGGCCACTCTATCAACTCAAGGAGGCTTAGCAGCTCTACCCAATCCATAGAAAGAAACACAGGGGAGCAGCCAAAATGTGGAGACAAAGAAACATGTCACAAATGAAAGAAATGGAAGAAAGCAAACTTCTGGATATAGAGTTCAAAACGACAGTTATAAGGTTCTCAAGAATCTTCTAGAAACCTCCGAGGAACTTAAAAAAAAAAGGGGGGGGGAGGACCAGTCAGAAATTAAGCATACACTGACTGAAATAAAGAGTAATATACAGAGATTCAACAGTAGATTAGAGGATCCTAAGCTCAAATCAATGATTTGAAATACAAGGGAGCAAAAACATCCAACCAGAAAAGCAAAAAGCAAAAAGAATCCAAAAATATAAAGACAGTGTAAGGAGCCTTTGGGACAACTTCAATCATACCAACATCCAAATTATGGAGTGCCAGAAAAAGAGAGAAAGCAAGATACTGAAAACCTATTTGAAGGAATAATGACAGAAAAAAATCCCCTACCTGGTAAAAGAAATAGACTTACAAGTCCAGGAAGTCCAGAGAACCCCTAACAGGAGGAATACAAAGAGGACCACACCAAGACACATCATAATTAAAACCCCAAGGGCAAAAGACAAAGAGAGAATCTTAAAAGCAGCAAGAGAAAAACAGTTATCTAAAAGGGAGTGCCCATATGACTCTCAGCTGATTTCTCAATAGAAACTATGAAGACCAGAAGGAAGTGGCAAGAAATATTCAAAGTGATGAACATCAAGAACCTACAACCAAGAATATTCTACCCAACAAAGCTATCGTTTGGAATTGAAGGTCAGATAAAGAGCTTCACAGACAATAAAAAGCTAAAGGAGTTCATTACCACCAAATGAGTATTATATGAAATGCTGAGTGTATTCTTTAAGAAGAGGAAAAAGAAGAAAAAGGTAAAGATAAAAAATATGAACAATAAAGTGACAACAAATATATATCTATCAACAAATGAATCTAAAAATCAAAATGAATAAAAAATCTGATGAACAGACTAGACTAGTGAATAGAATAGAATCAGGAGCATGGAAATGGAACAGACTGACTATTTTCAGAGGGAAAGGAGTAGGGGGGTGGTGCAGGAAGAGATTAGACAAAGATCTTATATGCATGTATTAGACAAAGATCTTATATGCATGTATGACACAGACAATAGGGTGTCGAGGGCCTGGGGTGGGGTGGGAACTGGGTAGAGGGGAGCTATGAGAGAAAAAAAGAGGGGCATCTAATAATCTCAACAATAAAAATTTTTTAAAAAGCAACATATGGAAAGTTTATGCAAGTGCAGGTATGTAAGCTCCACTTTTTAGATTCTGTTTCAAAGGGGCTTGGATGAATCTGCACTTTCAACAAGGAGCCCCATTGATTCTGATGAAGAGAATCGGGGGGGCACATTACAAGCTTATTCAGGTGTACATTTCGTAGAGATCTGAGGCTTAGTTATACTCTAAAGTTTAATATCTCTCTTTTTGTCCAATGACCCATTTGTAAAATAACTGACTAAATTCCAGTTCTTGTTTTAAATTATTTGTTTTGTATTTACTTTACACGACTCTTTTAATCATTTTTTTTCAAATTATAAGAGAAAGTTTATTTAGAAAATCACAGATGTAGAAAACGTGAGCCAGCTGGGCTGTGTGGGCTCTGGGCACGAGTCACAGAGGCAAGAGAAGGGCCCTTGGAGCTTACGGAAAAGAAAGGCAAAGAAAATGTGCCTCAGGGAAGGAGGGGGTGAAAGGCATGGGACATGCTTGAGAGAGAGAGAGAGAGAGAGAGAGAGAGAGAGAGAGAGAGAGAGAGAGGAAGAGGAGAGAGCTGCCTCTTTTAATGTTTTTTTTTTTATAGGTATTTTTTTTTCTATTAGGATAATGACCTCTAAACAGAAATGATGGCATTAGCATAATTGCCTCCATGTATTACCTGGATCATCTGGACTGAGGGAGATGCCTCCTGTCCGCAGAGAGGCACGTCTGCTCTCTGGACCAGCAGTGCAAGATGAAGACCCTCTTGCCCAAAGTGATGTTCCAGGGCCTCTTTGATCTCCTGTTTCACATGCTTCTTGCTCAGCTTGCTGTGCGGATAACCTGGAGTGTCCAGCACCCGGACCTGCAGGGTTATCTCTTGCCCCCCTCGACGCATGAAGCCATGGAGGTGACAGCTGCGGCCCAGACTGCACTCTTTGGTCACAGAACATGGAGCAAAGCTGCTGTGGAAGTCCGTGCTTCCTAGAAGGATGTTGCCAGCAGAACTTTTTCCACTCTGAGTCATGCCAAAGAGGGCCAAGTTGATGATCATCTTGTTGGAGTCTGTCATGGCTGTGAGTAACCAAAAGCTTAGCATAAGCAGGTAGGCTTCTATGTTCACCCATGCAAAGCTTCTTACCTTCTCTGGAGCACTCCAGGCATTGCCTTTAATTTGCTTTCCCCTCATTCATAGTGACTAAAGGGTGCAGGAGTGATTCACCAAAGTGGACAGACCCCAGTGAGGCGGGAAGATGGAAATAATATTAGTAGTTTGCAGTAGGAGAGGAGAGAGAAGTCAACTATAGATACGGAAGGGAAGAGGAAGCAAGAATTACAGGACAACGAGAAGAAAAAAACACACCCACAAACCAAATGACATAATAATATAAACCATATTAACTCATCACTGTGGTAAGTGAGTTGGTTTAGGAATGGGTACTGAAGTTCCTAGGTTCACGCTAGCAGCAGTATTTGAAAATTATTCACTCTTGGGGGAGAAGTAGAAACACAATCATAGAAGAAACCCCATTTATTGCATTTAAAAAAAATGCCCCCCACCATTCCCCTGCTTGAATACACAAGTGGCATCTGCAAGAAATCATCTTTCCGAACTTCCTGACTACTTCTTTCCTATGAAACATGAGTAATGTTAAAGAAAACTTCAAGTAAAGTCCAACCCTGATAGTGTGGCTCGATGGTTGAGCCCTGACCTATGAACCAGGAGGTCACAGTTCAGTTCCATGTCAAGGCACATGTCTGGGCTGGAGACTCAATCGCCAATAAAAGGGCATTCAGGAGGCAGCTGATAAATAATTCTCTCTCATCATTGATGTTTCTATCTCCATTCCTCTCTGAAATAAATACAAATATATTAAAAAATAGGAAGAAAGTAAAGTCCAACAGATTGTGCAGTTCAGTTAGGAGGAAGGGGAACTTTGGGAGATTCTATTCCATTTACAGCTCCCCTAAATTGTAGTTTTTCTTTTAGAGAGAACAGAAGCCCCTGATAGCATTACAGGCTCATCTTTCATTTTCATTAGATCAATGAGGCAGTGCTACTGGCCAAATACCGAAAGTGCTATCAACTACCAATTCAGAAATAGACATTTTAAATTTCATATTTATTATTTTTGCTTATAAATTTTATTTTTATTATACAGTTTCTTTGTTATATACATAGAAAGTACCTCTGGTCTTTCTTGTCCTCTAATGCCTCTCACCCCAGTCTACCCAGACCCTAACATTAACACCTTGAAGGAACCTCACATCTCCATACAAAAACACTCCTTTTTGGGGTCCCTCAAAGTGACCCCAGCTCACCAAGATCATTCAGCTATGTTGGCTGGAATTTAATCACTCAGATTATTTTTTTAATCCTGAATTCGATGTTTGATTTAAAAAATAATATTTATGAAATCCCAATCCATTTGCTGTATGTCACGTACCTTTTCCAATGTTAAAAATGCTTTTTCCACGAAGACTTCTCTTGAGCTGGTACAGGCATTCTTTGGTATGAACTTTAGACTTTTAACATTATTATTGTACCACTCTGGGACTGATACTGTATGCAATTTATTTAGTTAATCTGTTACTAGGATCCTCTCTATAAATGATTGTTTTTAGTCAGCACTGAGTTTTTCATGTCACCTGACAGACCTGTAATCTCAATAGGTACTTCCTGAAACTTCTATAGCTAGGATTAAATTCTTTGTTTTAGGACTTTGTTAATATGAACATTTTTTCTATCGCCTAAAGTAATGCAATGTCTAATTTCTGTTTAACACAAATTAGACATTAGAAACAAAATGTCTAGACAGAAACTAGACATTCAAAAGAAAGATATGTTTCTCATTGTATTTAATGAATACCATTACTTTATGAACATTTCAATAAATTGATATGTAATATATGTGAAATAAATAGGTACTGACTTCAGAACAGTATTAAGTTTATAAATTCAAAAATTCTTTAAGGAAACCCTCTTGGCTAGTTCCATGTAATTGAAATTTATTCTTTTATTCTAATTGATACAGTTGCTAGCATGATTATATTAGCATGTGCTGTTTTCATATCAATTAATGATAGTCAGTGAGTATAATTTTCTATAACTTGAAGCCAGATAAATTTTTATTTAAACAGGGGTTTTATTTCATTACTGAAAGCTTACATTATATTTTCCCACTTCTTAGTATGTAACCCATACTTTCTCAAGATACTTTCATGTGTTTAAGAGGTAAAACCTTCAAAACCTCTGGTTCAGCTTCTCCTATACTCCTCAAACAGTCTGTGAAATATGTATTTCTGCATGGAGGAATCCCGGGGGCATCTGGAACACCTTATGATTTCATGGCCAGAAAGTTAAAGTCTTCTTCCTGTGTGAATACAACAAGGAAAACGTGAACTGGATTCATTCATCTGACAAGCACATTTGGCTTTTCTTGAACGAAGTAGGAAGAGCCTCCCCCAGGTGGCAGTAGCAGCCTGTTTCCTAAGAAGTAATTTTGAACTGAATTTATTTTCATTTTCTTCCTGAAACTATAAACTGACATTCTTCAACTAGGCCATCTACATCAACACATAGCACTTGTGTGGAAGGTCTTTTGAATAAAGGCAAGACTGAACCTTCTTTTTCATGTTCCTTATAAAAAGTGGCACTCTTACATGTTCTTAGTTTTTAAACTTTCTTCCACTTTGAAAACATAGTTTAATCATTTATTGAATGCAACATTTGACTGTTTAAAAAAAGTTTCAGAGTTTCTACATATGGTTAAAAATCCAAATAATTTTCAAGACATTTAATGGAGATTTCATACCTGAATCTACTTAGAGGTCATAGAGGAGAGTAATGTGTTAATATTAGATGATATTAAATGATGGGTGTTAATTATTTCTGAATTAGGGTGAAAAAACAACTTGAAAAATCACCTCATTCTTTTCAGTCTCTTGACTAAATATAATGTATCAGGGATAAAACTGTATAACTTTAACAGCTGGCTCCAGGATTCTCTGAGAAAGGGAACCACCTCTGTTTGAGGATAGTTTGATTAACTATTTAAGGCATGGGGATCCTGAGAACATGAAACAAACTCATAAAATAGCTAAATTGCTGGGGATGAGGGAAGGGCCAAGAAAAGAGTAGGAAAGATTACATGGGTATATAGATGTGTGTGGAGGGAGAGGGGGGGGGGAGGGAGAAAAAGAGAAAAAAAAGGAGGGAGGGAAGGAGGGAAGGAGGAAAAGGTGGAGGAAAGGGTGAAGGGGGGGTGAGGAAGAGGAGGAAAAAAGCTGGGAGGGAAGCAAGGAAGGAGGAAAAGAGAGGAGCCAGAGGTGGAGGGAAAGAGTTAAGGGAGGGGGGGAGGAGGAAAAAAGGAGGGAAGAAAGGAGGGAAGGAGGAAAAGAGAGAAGCCAGAGGAGGAAGAAAAGGAAGAGGAGAAAATCTCTCATTTGTGAAATGGCTAAGGGACTGTTTTAGAGCTATTTTATTTAGCAATAAATAGTTCCTAATTTAGAGCAATTTGATTTAAAGATTCATTGTTTTAGGTAAATTCCAATTCACATTGCCTTGAACTGTGAACCCATTGCTAGTATGCTAACTTTTCATTACAAAGAAGACCCTTAGAGTAATAACCAGAATCTTTTTTATGATGTCTCAATGACCTTCACCTTGGCCAATACTGCTCTAAGTCAAGGGAAATACCAATAAACTGATTAAAGTTGGTGGTAATTTGATTGGCTCAGTTTGAGGAGGTTTTAGAATAACACATCAGATAGCACCTTTCAAAACATTTTAGTGAACAGTGGTCATCAGATTAAACTTGGGGACAGATGATCCCAATTTGAACACAGTCTACAGGTTCTTGGAACAATGAAGAATGCACATGTCCAGGCAGAAATATTGATGGGAAAAGGAAGCTTCAGTCCAAACTTGGTTGGTTTCATATTTTAAAGACTCTACTACTCCCATCACCACACAAGAACACTCACGTTTTTGTTTGTTTTTTGGTGATGGTGTGGCTGTTGATTTTTGTTTGTTTGCTTTTTTGTTTTTCTTCTGAGTATTTCTAATTAGGTTTTTAGAATTATAAATGAATGAAGTATGCACACTTCAAAGCGTTCAGGAAATTCCGAAAAGAACATAGAGGGAAATAGAATCACTTTTAAATCTTTAATACCTAGGGCCCCTTGGGCAATGGCTCCTTCTGGGGACTGACAAAGTGAATACATTTCATTTTCCAAACTACCCATTTCCTCCCTCTATTTATTGCCCTTCCTTAAAAATCACTACTGTAATGAGAGGCATTACTAATGGGATTATGTTTAGTATGTGAACTGTGTGACTCAAGAGTAATTGTTGGCAATCCGGATATGGTATTTTGCTATGCTACTGCATTTAATATTCTAAGATTTATTTATAATTTTAGCAGCTTTACTAATAGTAGACTGGTTTGTAGCTTTCTATTTTCATCCTATATTTATCAGGTTTTCAGATCAGGAATATGCTAACTTCTTAAAATGAATTAAGAAATTTCTTTCTTTTATGTTGCTCTGCAATAATTTAGATATCTTGGCAATTATATATCCCTGGAAGGTTGGAATAAATTTTTGGGAGAACAGCTAGGCAAAAGTCTTGAACAACTTTAAAAATTTATGTCATGGTAATTTGACTCTTCTTGTATCAATATTGGTGATTTATAGTATTTATTATTTTACCCATATTTAAAAATTTTTAAAGTATAATCATCTCTATTTCTGGTTTTAGATTCCCTTTTTGTTCTGAGATGCTTATATAACAGGTTTGGCTTTATGTACTTAATAAATGTCTGCATATGCACCTGTGTGTGTATGCAATTAACTTTTGCACTTTTATAGTCTGAAGTGGATTTCCAAGAACATAAACAAAATTTATAATCTGATGCTTCTAAGACATAATAATTTTATTTATAGAACTAAACTGCAGCCACCAAATCTGAGCCAATTATTGGCCACCAACTCTGAGGCATTATTGAAAAGACACATTCAGTCTTGAAAGCAAGAATAAAATCAGTAAAGTTTTAACTTTATAATTACTAA